TCCTGATTCTGGCAGGGGGAAAAGTAGTAGACTATCAGGAGAATGACTTGGCTAAGTGAATAATACATGCCTCAGTACCAATGGAAAAAGAACATAAAAAGGAAATGGAAGCAAAGATGGACTTGAAAGGAAGAATACAGAAAAGTATCTGGGCATGCTGGGCTGGTGTCGTGAAAAACCCAAGTTCACCGAGTGCTGAAACTAGCAAAGGGCATGATAGGCAGCAAAAGCCTCTACTACTACTTTAGCAGTAAAATAATAAAAAAAAATACAGGCCCACTACTGAGGCAGTGATAGTGACAGGTAATCTGTGCTTCTTTTGCCGGTCTTCACTGAAATGGCCTCCCAGAGTTAAAGGAGCTGAGGAAATACTGGTAGTGTAACAGGGTTCAGCCAAGTATCTCCTGAAAAATTTCAACCAAAGCAAGTCCACAGGACCTGATGGAATGCATCCAAGAGAGCTGGCTGAGGTCACCATGGGGCACCTCTTTATAATCATCAAAAGGTTGTAGAGTTAGGGTGTTGCAGTTTAGATGAGTGGAAAACTAGATGGGCAAAAAACTGGCTGGACTGTTGGGCTCAAAGGGTATTGGTTAGCGGAATAACACAGGAAATTGTCATAAAACAAAACAGAAGGTTCCAACTTGATATGAGAAAAAACACTTTTAGAAATAAATTTCCAGAGTTTTAGAGAAATGCAGTGAAACAAACACAGCATCCAGTCAACAGTATTTTACATTTTGTAGATTACCATTTTTGCCATACTAAGTTACGGTACACTAACTTAATGCACACAAATGTCTTCAGAAGTAAGTCTTTCATTATCATGGTGTATCTAGGTGTAAGTATTGAGTTTATACAAATTATTTTCAGTAACACAGTTGCACTATAAGGTATTGCTTAAAATTCTTGATTATGTACCACAATATTAGTGTTACCAGAAATAGATATCCTATTCTTGATTATGTAATCAAGAAAAACTTCTGAAAATAATATTCAGAGTACAAACTACTTTTAATCAGCAGCTAAATACCAAGATACTGGCACTGATTACTTCGTTGCTCTAATGACATCTGTAATGGATTCCAAGTGCTGTGCCTAATTGCTTCCCAGCTGATCAGGATTCTGCTCATCACTTCTAGCTGCTGGAATTCTGAGATTTCTTGGAGTTCCTTTGCAAAAAGGTTTCAATATTGCTTCTGCTAAACAGGTACAGTGCATGCGTTAAAAGAGTCATCATAAAGTTTACACGCAGAACTCCATGATAAAACGTATTAAGGGAAGAAAGGAAGACCTGAGGTTTTTTCCCCACTCTTTTTATTGACAGGCATGGACTACAAAACAGTATATTCCAAAGGACTTGATACATATTGGCCAATGGATTGTAAGATGTAGCTGAACTTCAGTTGATTATGGCTTGCTTTGATAACCATGCTGCAATAGTAACTGATACACTTTCACTAATGCTGATGTTTTCAGTTTTAAAATAGGTGATATACACAAGTGAGTTAAAAGACAATTTCAGACATTAAGTATGATACACATAAAAGATAAATTCACAGTTGTTAAACTTAAACCAGTGTCTCGTCTCATGTATTTTCTGATTTTTGCCTACTGAAAAAATAAATTTTTTCATCCTTCATTTTACTGAACTAACCTAAGGGAACTGACACAGCAAATATTTTTAGAGAGACTCCTCAGTAGAGTAGTACGAAATGATTGCAGTATGATTCTGCTACAAGTATGCATTACATAGGTCTGAATCATCCTTGGCTAGAATGGTGAAAATACTTTAATTACTCCAGGAAAAGAAATATTACAACTGGTCTTCAATTCTACAAATATTTGTATGTTCAAATTATCGGAAAAGGTATTTGCTATAAAAATTCTTAGATTCTGTTTGGTCTTTTTCATCAATGTAGTATTGCCAAAAGACTTATAAATTTCAAATTTTTGTTGTAACAAATAATGAAAGTGCTGGCAAATTTCAATAGTACTCTTACAATTTTGAAATAGAACTCTTTCTAAAAACGTTGTTAAGAGTTTAATCAGTTGCTGACAGCTTTTTCTCTCATCATGTCTTCACCGTAAGTTAGAACTGTTTAAATGGATTAAAGAAGTGTGAAATCTCAAGCACAGTATTGTACTGGAATTAGTGGAGTGAGACTTGTGCCCTGTGACAGTGGAATACAACGGCTCCTGCTTTTTATCTGAGTCATAGCTGGTACAGAAATACACTAGTGGTTCAAACACATACCTGTGTAAGAGAAGCAATTTAAGAATTCATTCCTTCGCGATAAGCAAGTCACCTCAATCCCTAGAGTTTAGCATGGAATGTAGCAGAGAACTTGAAAATGTGACTGCAATAATTCAAGTTTTCCAAAAACTCACTGCAAGGAATGTGGAAAGTTTTTACTTCTAACATCAGAGATTTTCTATTTTGATAAAAGAATATGCAGTAAGTAAGTTCTTATAAGGCCAACATCCTGGCTTCTTAATGTCAATAAGTATCTTGATGTTTTTAAAAAAGGATGTGAGTTGTCTTGCTTTAAAGTATCTTTTATGTTTTAACTCTTTTTGTGTTTTGAGGGAGTTTCTATTCCAGAAGCTAAGCAAGTGAGAAGGTAGAAAAAATCATTTGAAAAACCTATTATTTCACTTCCAAAAGTGAACACAGATTTAGATTTATCTCCTATGAAGTATTTTTCTGACTGCATTTTTGTCTCCCTTGCTGTATCACACATCTCCCCGCCCTTCTAGGCAACTAGTCAGTGTTAATCCACAGGTATCTGCACCATAGTGCACTTTTATCTTTCTCATCACTTTAGACATGAAGACAAATGGCTGACTCTAAAATTGTACTTACATGTTTACCAATTCACAGCACAGCAAGCCATTTATACAAATACAAAGGCAGAATGAAATAAGTAATTGTTCCAGTTGAATATTCTAAAATCCCTTTAGTAATACATTTCCTTAACTACTTTATATAACTACATGATAACACAGGCTTGCAAATTATTAACATAATTTTAATCAACAAGAAATTATTAGATTAATTAAAATATGGTGGCTCAAGTGAGGTAATCATAGAATCACTTAGACTAGAAAAGAACCTTAAGATCACTGAGTAATGAACTGTTCTTTCTTGCAATTTCTTAGAAATTGCACTAGCCAGTTTCAAATATTTATACAATGAACAGCACATGCATTATACAATGTAAGTGATCTCAGCAGTACAATCCATTCAGTTTCTTTTACATGTTTGTTAGCAAAATTAATATATCAATGTTTTGTGAAACCCTGACAGGTTTGTTTTTAAAATATTACTGAAGTCTGAGACATATACTGGTAAAAGGGACAATAATGACTACAGAGATCCATTCATAAATAAAACATAAGAACTGTCACACGCAAGACTTATTTATTGTATCTAGCCATTCAGTAGCCAGTAAAAGTCAGAAGACTGCTGACTCTCTGTAGTTTGCCTTAGAATAATGTTATTTAAATCAATATAGACAAAAGTACTCAGAACTTTGCATTGTTTTATGGGCCTCTGAGAAATAATCAGGTAAAGTGAAATTAACTTAGCTTCATGGATTATTTACATTTGTGAGTTAAAGATCCTTTTCAATAGAATGCATAATGTCTATTATTTGTCCTGAATTTTTTTCCTCTTACAAGGGATACTGAACATACTTGTAACACTTATACAAATTCAAAGTCCTGATCAAAATACTTATTAAAACTCTGCTGTAGGAAAGCTAGATGATTTTTAGGAAGAGATTATTTTATGATTCTGGGTTAAATCCGTACTTCCAAAATTAATGGAAGAACATAAACCAACTGCATAATGGCAGACTTTACATTATGACCAAGCTACTGAGGTGTTAACACAGCAGATTTGATCAAGCTTAAAGCTGTTGGTTTTTACACTTCCCTGCTCTATCACTAAAGTAGTGTTCTGGTCAAAAGAAAGTCTGTAGCCTATAAATAATGCAATCAATTTGACTTATCAATTTGACAGCTAAGTTTTTAAAATCCACTTTGTAGGACACTGAAAGAATTAGTGAAAGGTCTCCAACATGCTTAAAACCTTGCTGTGCAAACAAGAGCTGGGAAGCACCACCTCAGGTGTGCAAAGCAGAAAGCAAAGCGGAGTGCAAAGCAGAATGTAGCATAAAACACACAGGATTATTTGCAAGCTCACTTGGTGGGTTGTTGTGCTGTCAGCTACGTAGCTAAGGCTGTCTGCAGCTCTGCTTCTTACCAATGCTAAGAAATGTAAGACACCGGTTAGATAACATCATCTTTTCTTTTACTTCCAGTAAAATTATTTATCTTCCTAAAATAGAAAATATTACCAGTCTGCTTTGAAGTTATAGCTGTCAAACATTGTAACACACCTTTCTAGATGGTCTGCTGTTCTTCCTCTGACTGTACACACAAACATACTGATCTCCAAGTCCCACAGCAACAGGACAGAATGATAAAACTTGAATTTGCTGACTTTCAGCATTTTAAGAATTTAAATATTGAAGCAGTTGGATTTACTAAGCATTAATAAGGTAGAGAATTCTCTGAGCTTCACCCACTTTAGATACCCAAAAACCCACAGCTGTTTTTTGTTCTTTTCTTGGCATTGCTCTTCCCCAAGGGCTTTTTGTCCTCTCAAAGCAATTTGTTTAGAAAAAAGAATTTTAATCTACGTTCTTAGGACTTTTATTTCAAAGAAAATTTCTTCAGGCCCACTGAAAACACAGCAACTAACAAAAGTACACCCCTAAAATTTATGATAGAGAAGTCAAATGGAGAAATCAGAATAGCGTCTCAAGAGTCATCTACAAAGCACACTTTTTCCACAAATTCCAGAACAGTAGAATACTAAATCCTATGAAAGAATAATGTGGGGTCAAGGAAATTAGATTAGCCTTGTTGCCAATATGAAACACAAAGAAAATGGAGTTACAATACCTATTCCACACTTTTAATTGCCTTACCTGGCATTCCATGGATAAGGTCTCCACACAACACAAAGAACTTGGGTTTAGGGTTTAGTTTGTTAATGGCCTGCACTGCTTGCTCTGCTAATTTGATTTCTTCTACCCATTCATCATCTCCATTGTTAGTGTCTCCAACCACCCAAGCTTTCATCAGTCCAAACTGAGGATCTGCTCCTTGAATGAAGTAGAAGGGCCCTTTCCATTGGTACTCATCAACTAAGAAGAAAAATAAGAGTGGGAAAAAAAAAAAAGTTAAGCACTAGAGAAACTTAAAGAGAATGAAAGTTTCCATGCATCATTAAATTGATTGCTCTTCACCTAAGTAAACTGAGGCTGCTTTAATGGAAGTACAAAATTCTGTAGTCATGCATATAGGGCAACTATAAAGGCAGAAGTACAAATTTTTCCTCTAATGGATAGAGGCAATAAATGAAAGTATATTAATCTAATTGTACCACATGGTAACTACAGACTGATTAGGGAAAAAGTATGTGAAAAACTCAGCAAATAGTGCTGGAAATTACAAGACTATAACATAGCACAAGTTTATAACATTAGATTTCAGTTGATTCTTTTAAGATTAATTACTGAGTCTTTAATTAACAAGTTAAAACATACATGACAAATTTCACATTTTATGGTTCCAGTAGACTTGTCCTTAAATTATTAAGGAGTTAAATGCTTTTTGTTCTTCTACTTTTTGAGAGAAGTTGGATCTAGCATATTCTTTGGAGTTAGAACTGAACTCACTCAACAGGACCAAAGTCAGCAAACAAAATCCAGCAACATCAGAATTAGCATCAGCATTGAAAATCCTAATTTAGAACTGCCACAATCACTCCTGAGACCTATGATAAAGAAGTGAGAACTCAGAAACAAATTCCAATTGGTAGAGTCAGTGCAGACTGAGGGTCCAACAGAATTTGTACTGCTACAGTTTTCTTAAAGACTACAAGCACATTACGGAAAAAAAACTCAACAGGAGGCGAATAAAGCAACAATCCTGTTTCCTAGATTAAGTCTCAAATTGGAATTAAAGTACAAACATGAGTACAATACGGTTTCTCCAGTTGTCTAAATACATTCATTTGCAACCTGAATATTTCAGTTTTGACAGCTGTTTGGCTTAATACATTTGGGGTTATTGGGGTTTTTTTTCATCAGCATTTAAACTGTTATAAGCTCACTACATCAATCTACAATTGAATCTAAAAAAAGATGATACAGCATATTATTTAAACTGTTACAAGCTCACTACATCAATCTACAGTTGAATCTCAAAAGAGATGATACAGCAAATTATTCCAAATTAAAATATAACCCATAAATATACTCCCATATTATGCCCGTTTGATCTGAAATGCAGTTTGAGGCAAAACTAATCTTTGAAAAACAGTACATAAGCAAGTAGCATGTCTACTTTTGGTTTTCTTTCAAGCCATCTAGAACTGGAGCTTCTTACTTTGCAAGAAAGGGGGTATGTTTCTTTCAAGGAAGGTTAGAAAACAGAGGTCAGAATTAATCTCTTGCACCATGGATATGGATAGGCTGGGGAGAAGGAGAAGGACTGTGGGCAACTCAAAAGCTGTTTGTATTTGTCATCTGTTGCTATGGTATCTGATTGTTTTGCCAAATGCAAGCTTCTACATTTTAAAGTAACATTTAATTTCTAAACACAATTATTTATAATCTGTTAACGTTGTCTGTTAATTCATACCACCATTGCCATGCTCTAAATAATAATCACATATTTTACAGAGAAAAACTTTTAGCCATTCATTAACTTTTAATTCTGCAATTAAATTAACTTTTCCAATTCCATAACGTAAGTCAGATAAGTGAAATGATTCATCGATCTATGAGTTTGCAATAGAGGCCTTATGGAACCAGCTGAATGATATAAAGTAATTCAGGTTTTTATTTTATGTCTTGCATGGCAAAATATGACTGCCATAAGAAACAGCTTACATGCTGCATCAAAGGCATTGTTTGTGCAGAGAAATCAACCTGAAGTTTTTATAAGTGAAAAGCTATAGAAAAAATATCAGTTAAGGAAGCTTGCATCAGAAATCCTTTATGAACTAGATAAAATAAAAATGAAAGAAGGGAAAGTCTGAAACAGGAACTTGTTTTGGAGGAGCAGCACAATCCTCAAACTCATTAAATGGGAAAAAGGTTCAAATCTTCGAGCAACATTGCAGAATTTTTAACACCGGTCCCTTTTCCAGCAACTTAATAGACAGTATTGATAATCAATCCTGAGCAAAATCTACTTGTTTTGTACTGATTAATCTGAAGGCAGTTATTTTTACCGTAGTATACTAAGTAAAATACAGAGACATTTATCTATCTATTTTTACAGGAACTACTTAGAAAAGACAGATAGTCTTTGTTTTAAAAGACTGTGTTTCAATTATGGTCATATGTTTCCCTTTCCAGAGACCCAGGGATGGTGTCTAGTGGCTAAAGGCAGCTGGATCACCTGCAGCAGACCAGGGAACTGTCAGGCATGCTGGCTGGCACAGACATAATATAATTGTTTTTTCCTGCCTTATAGTCATGCCAATACAGTAGCTCTCTAGGTTTAAAGTACCTGAAGGTTTCCAAGACTGTGCACAGATGCTCTGGTTTGAGTGGGTGAGTGATGGTCATGTGAGGCAGAGAGACAGACACCAATAAGATGAATTTGAAAAGAGAAGTTCAGTACACATACAGAATCAAGAAGTGGCAGAAGAAAGGAGAAACAGAAGATGCAGGGGTGGAGGTGACAAAGAGTGGGGAGAAAAGGAAAGAGATAGGAGGTGAAAAGAGAAAGGAACTGAAAATGATGCAGAGGTATATGCTATATTCGCCTGTAGGAAAGAAAACGATAAAATGAAGAAAATGAATCAGGGACAACAGAAAAGATCCAGAAATCAGGGCTACATAAATAACATTTACTTAAAACGTTAGTTTAACTGGTCTCAGTCAAATAATTTAGTCAACAGCAATGTTTGTATTTGATAACATCAAATAGTTACAAAAAATAACAATAAGGTTGAATAAATATTTTCTACCTTTCTCTTGTTATTTGATCACTCTAACTAGAAACCTTTTTTAAAAACAAATAAACCTAGTAGTTACACCAAATTCCATTATCTTATTACTTATCAAGTGGTACTTACTGGTTTAGTTTAGTACTTACTGATTTTGTTCCCCACAAAATAAAAGAATATATGGGAACAAAATAATATATGGACACTTAGTTTAAACTTACAACTTAAGTTTTTGTTTATCGGGAATGTCTTTCAATTACTATAAAAGTACTATAAATAAAAGCAGAATATCATGAAGAAAGTTGTGTTTATACAACACCACTAGTACAAACTTGCACCTGCACCAACTCTTAAGCCTGTTCTGCATTCAGCTCATCCAGGAAATAACTCCTAATTGCCCTCACAGGTCTGCCTGCAGAGTTCATGCAAGCTCTTCCTTATCTGCACAAGGCATAACATCAGTCCAGCAAAATTTTACAGTGTTGCAACTAATGCAATTTAGTTAAATTTGCTTAAAACTCCAGGAGCATGCCTCTGAAGGAACACTCTTTCAACAGACCGATACAGTAGGAGGGTAGCAGTGAGAAATAGAATGTAAAAGCATTTAAAAGCATTTTCCACTACCACAGATGGATCCACAAGTCATTTGCGTAACAATTAAATGATTTATCAACAGACTGTGTTCAGATAATTATTAAGAAAACTTCTGTACCCTACTTCTGCCCTCACCAGCTTCATGTTGGCACCCTCAAGCAGAACTGGTACTGTAGGCCATGCAAATGAACCTTGTTTGCTTAAGCAGTAAGCAGGCACCACAAAAAATTGTTTGAACCATTTTTTTGGACTTTGCACTGAATCACAAGAAGAGTGCTCAGACAAATCATTCTGTTACTATGCTAGGGGAATGACAAAGTCTGGCAGAAAGTTAGTAACAAACAGCATTGGGCACAAGAGTAGAGGGAACAGCTGTTTTTTGCAGTGATCATCCAGTCATGATCCAGGTCCTAGATGTTACTCCATAAGGTTTCAATTAAATAGCATGTACAGTTGCTATCTTCCCTTCAAATGTAGCAAGCAATGACTTTTATGGGAATGACATCAAAGGCATTATTCTCGCAAGGAGTTTCAATTTTCAAGCCTTTAGATGAGCTATGTAGTTCTATTAGATGAAGTGCATGCTAGGTAAAGCAATAGGAGATTAGGATTCAATTAAAACACTTTTTTTTCTGCTTCTCCCTTAGATTGTAAAATTGAGCAGAGCTGTGAATGCCTGCACATTGGCTCTTCATCCCTAGGAGCACAGAGGCTGTTTGCAACTTTCTGACTTTACCACAGCAATAAGAAAACAGAAATGCCAGACAAAAGTCAGCAGATTTCTCAGATAACTGATGTACTGATGGTTTCCATTTCTGAAGGACAAATAATGTCTGTGGAGCTGCTCTTACACATTGAGCCACACAAAACTCCTATTCCAAATCAGTTTTGTTTCCAGGCCTTCTTAAGAGCTGCACAGCTGATTGCCACAGAAGATGTCCAACTTCAGAACATGTTGTTATGCCTCAGTTTCAATAGCTTCCCACTCTTTCTGCTCCCATGCATGCCAAAGTACGGAGAGAGGATCAATGCAATGTATTTTTAGTAGCATGGGCTGAAAAATGGTGCCAATTTCTAATTTTATCTAAGGATTAATTCTGTGAAGGGCCAAAGTAGTCAGTAGCAATTCACAAGAGAAAACCTCTGCTGTGTATTGTGATCATGCACAAAAAGACACTTCAAGGATCTAGGTAGGATTTAAGCCAGAACTCACCATTTCTAGATGACAGTATCTACTACCTTATATACCTTCATTCCTTCCCCTTCTGCTTTTCCTAGTTTCTTCTCCCTTTCTTCCCCAGGATCACAAACACACGTATATAGAGATTGCTCATATAAACCACTGCAAGCTTGCCTCTGACAGCCACAGAGTACTGATGGGACTTCCAGTATTTCCCTGGTGAGATCTTTTTAGAAGTACTATTGAAACCAACCAATGTACACTGGTTTTCTTCCTCTACACTCTACAGCATTTCACAGAAACAAATTAGTTATGAAAAGTTACTCCTGTCCATAGTCTCTCTATAGACACTACTGTATCAGAAGAGAATGGACACAGACACATGCCTAATTGTTGCTCAGTATACC